TTGTGGTGCAATGGGTGGGTGGGGGGGGGTGGTTTCTTTTCAGGTTATATGTCCAGTCCCAGTGCATCCACTCTGTGTCAATATTAATACAAGAAACAGTCTATGGCACTATACAACTTATGTACATGTGATATTTATTACTGAAATCAGTGCCAATGCAGTTTCCAATTAGGGTTATTATGAAATTCAAACAGAAGTATTTAGGATTTGGTGTTTTAAGGTGGCAATAAAACTGGTGAACCTCAATATGTTTGTGATCCTCATTAAAACATTTTTCTCCCCACCATCATGATGAAACACAGCTGCTACTACCAGGGAAACCTCAGGTGTAGGTGTGTGTGTGTGTGTGTATGTGTGTCTCTTCAGATTCTAATTAAATAGGAACAGAGTACTTTTTTCATAGAAGCCATTTAGGATGATTTGCTGGACTGATTATAGAGGTCAGCTTGTTCTGCCTGATGTTTATCTTTGTCGTAAGCATGGGCAGAACAGCTGTTTACATATGTATTATCATGAGTCAGACGAAGCTTATCCTACATGTGTAAGAGTCTGCTGTTGGATTTTAGTTTACTGAATATGTTTCAGAATTGAGGAAAACTGATCAAAGATTTGTTTGTCTCCAGCTTCTCTTATTGCTACATAGAAATTCTCTAAAATTGAGCTCATTGCTGCTGTTTACAGAAACTCATGAGTTTCTTTGCATAGCAATTTTTTTATATACAAAGTGGGCTTTCAAAATTTTAAATTCATAATATCAATTACCTAAGATGAGTTGTGGATAATACAAGTGGCAATAGAACCCAGGCACAGGAACTGCATTAATATTTAATGCAATTACTGAATGGCCAAGGCTGTAGTGAAAATCATTGCCTGATAGTAACTCCAACTGCCTTTTTGTCTTTTATTCTGCTTTTACTACGACACTGTACACATAAGAACCACTTCTCCATGACTGTGGAGCAAAGACATTAGTTCTGTTGGTGTGGTATCAGATGGGGATGTGTGCATTCTGCATTGAGACGAGAGATATAGGCAGGGCACATCTGACAGATGCCACAGCCCAGCTGTTTTTACATTATGCCAACTATGCCCACTGGTCAGCTAACTCTTTGCACACCCACATACACCCTCTACAGTGCAAGTTACTATGGTGATGGAAGGTACACTTAAAACGTGGCGAGGGGACAGTTAACATTTAAGCTTGAGTTGTAATAACCATACAACAATGAGGAGTCAGCGATGTGCATGTGTAGATTTTTTTTTTCCTTTGCCATTTGATAAGATTGAAATGTCACTAGGAACACACATTCATTTTGTACCTGTATTATTACAAGCTGAAGATCTTCATCTCTAGTTATTGCCTTTTCACTAAATCAAAATATGCTTGGTGAGCTGTGCCCATAATCCAATGTTTGTACTCTTTCACAGCTGCTGGGAAGAATTACTGTAGCCTTATTGATCAACCTAAGATCAAGTCAAACACAGAAACTGATGCAGCTACTTAACGTGGCGACATCATGGGGTGAATCCCATTCAAAAAAAAAAAATGTATGTAGTGAAGTTGGGTAGATCTAGAAACCTTTGAACGAGGTGGCCAGGCTGGGGCACAAAGATGGAGGGCACATTTGAAACGTGTAAAAAGTAAATTAAACCTCTAGTTCTGTGAAAAAATAAACCGTATATTATTAAGAATCAAACTGCTTATTTTGTGTGAAGATGAGACACACATAGTGTTTAGCTAACTTTGGCTGCGGACCATATTTACTCCTGGCTGGGAACGTCAGTAGTCGTGCATTACATCAAGTGTAGGAATTTTAGATGTTTAAACACCCGTAGATGAGGTGACAGCTCAAGAAACTCCAGCATGATACTGACAGGAAAATAGTGTTGGAAAATTATCCTGAGCTAGTGGTAACCACGTTAATGCCCTTAGAAATGCTGATTAGTTGTCTCATGTTCTTGCACTATCATGCCTCCTAGCCTAATGAGATATTTGTGCTGGGACAAAGCCTCCTTGTGTCGTTGGTATGCAGTATCCTTCAGGCTAATACTTATGATGAATTAGACTATTCTTGCTGTTGATACAATACCCTTTTTTGTTATTATTGGCCCTTGGTTGATAGAGTACTGTTTATATCAAGATGGTGAAATCATGTACTTTTATTGGACCTTCCTGCTATGTTTCCAGCTTGACACCTGCTGGAACTGTTAAGTAGGGCAGTTGAACAATGCCTGTCCATATATGAGCTCTGAAAATGCAGCTAAACAGATTCTGACATTTATTTGGGTTTTCTGTCGCAGTCAGACATTTACTCTTCTGACTGCTGCACGCCACTCTCTGACCAGATATCTTGTTATGTCTAACAGCTGGATAATAAAGCCGCCAGACACAAGGCATCAGATTTGTTCC